AAGCCTGACAAAGCATGATATCCAACACCGAATAATTTTTTGTAAACAAAACGGCAATAAAATGTTCTCTCAGAGGATGAACGTGTTTCCACGATATTCCTACAGAAAGGTTTGCTTCTGTTCAGTTTTCAAATTCGCTTTGGGTAGATTGTTGCAAGATCTCCGTCACCACTGTACTTCATCCGTAAGCAACATGAAACTGTAAACTCCATCGCACAGCTAAAGTTCATTTGAAACAAATGTCAAGTCAGTCGTTTATCGATTCTTGAATGTGACGGACAATAGCTTGGTCCAGAATGTTTAATTCACTTTCATTTGGTATATACTCTCCAAAGTATTCGTTCATTGTCGGAATCAGCCCGCTTAAAGCAAAGCAATAATTAAACTTCGATAAATACACTCATTTGCAAATAAATTTGGTTTCGACGAGAGACTCAACTGAATCTCTCGTTTATAATATTCTACAACTGAATGTGCTACACACAGCCCACGACCGGTCGTGGGCTGTCAAAGAGTATTCGGCAACCTTGTGAGTAGTTTTTCATGAAAATATACTGCGATATCTCGAATATCGTGCCAACTGAATCACGAGGCGGCCTGTGTCCAGCAAATTTAGTTGTAGAATACCATAAACGGGGGATTCAGTTGAGTCTCTCGTGAAAACCAAATTGATTTGCAACTGAGTGTAGTTCTCGAAAACAGTGCAATTTGGGTTCAAGTAATACATAAGGTTGACGGAAACTGGGGTACTACGCCTACCTGATGAGCCACAAGGAGGGCGAAACCGGTCGTGGGCTGCCGAAGAGTTTTCAGCAACCTTGTGAGTAGTTTCCCTTATGAAAATAATAAAACTTGTTTTATGATGTGGTTTGCCCGGAGTAATTTCAAACATCCTTTGAACGAACGCAGCACTGTTATCCACTAAGTGATATAGCTGCGCAACTGTCTGTCCATGTATCTGAGTGAGTGGTTTTAGTCACAAGTGTACACTGACTCACCCCTCTGCGAATCTGCTGTGTTTCGCAGGCTGATTTTGTGGCTGATTACAAGACGTGGAGCACTTTTCATTGATTGGTACAAACTCCACTAGTTGTACGACGAACCGTAATCTGTATGCCATTATTCCCAAGTCATTGCGACTTGCGATGACGTCTCCCTTTCTCTGCCTCCTCCAGCATGAAGTAACATCTCAAACAAATGTCCAATCAACACGTACTATTCGATCCATAAGAGTCACACCACTTGTTCCCGTAGGCATGTGAGCGTGAATCGGCTGTCTTGATTAATTGGGAAAACGATTTGTTGGCGTTCAAACATTGCCCTTGGTCGGAGCCACAACAATACTGGCGGGGCAGTAGCATAAAATTCATCAATGACATGAATAATACAAGCACGTTTTGAGCAACACTCCTAGCGTCATTACATCGCTCGTTGAGCTGCCAGGTTGTTGGTCTGTCCGCTATGCTTGGAAGTTGGACATCAAATGTTTCATCACCAGTTGAAGTGTCGTCGTCACATCGGGGTCGTGCGACAGCCTCCAATAATTCTAACGTGATTATATGGTCAACAGATTGTTTCTGAGCAATCTGATTGGACCACTTGGAATCTGAATTGCGTCGTGGTCACATTTCCTCGCAGCTGATTGGCTCTTGGGATGTTTTCAGGTTCACAATTATGTCCCTCCTGCTGTGACTGTTCCTTTCTGTTCTTGCTTTAGGAATAAGTTTTCTTGCACTTATTTTTGAATTCAGTTTTCCATTTGGTTTCGAGAGGGTTCTTCTCAACATGTTTATTTGCTAGAAAACGACTGTTTTTCTGCGTCTCAGTCGCTTCAGCAGTGTTTTGTCAAACAAAAATTCAATCCTTCTCTGTTCTCGTTGCGTTGATAAAGTAAAATTCCGATTTTATAATTACCGTCAAGTTTCTCTGTTAGCCATCACTCTGGAGTACCAATAAAGCCATCCTTCTTCTTTCGTCTTCGACTCCGTGGACTTGCGTTGTGTCTTGACTCTCTTGAATAGCATTCAGATGCAATTTTGTTTGCCACATTTTGGATTGTTGCTGAATTGGTTAAAAATCACACGCGTTTCTTTCTTGTGATGGAACGTTGGCAACCAAACTGCCGATCTGGGCGGACAGACCATTAACCAAGCCATGCATCCGAGCTACGTGTATACCACAAATTCAGTTCGTATAAGGCTTGATCGTAAACATTGGAAGCAGTGCAACAGCCGTTTGTTCAAGCGCAAGCGCGCCGAAAAGGTAGGGTGCCATTACTGACAGGGGCGGTACACTAGGGCTGCTCTCAAGCGTGGGCTCATGGCCGTTGAATTAACCCGCTCTGACTACTTATAAGTAGTCAGGATATCTTGATAAATCACCAGGTGGTCAAGCCAAAAAGCACGTCCAGTATTCGCTCTCTTTCTGTAGATACTGATAAGTAAGCTAATATATCGCTACATTGGTGTTTCTGAATGGTTCATGTTGGCAGGTCATCAGTTGATTCTGCTCCTTTGCAAGCTGCTATCTCTGTTGCCGATGAATTCAATCTTCGATGGCCCTCAATGACGCCACGTGGTGACCGCATACAGAACGTGCAACGAATTTACACTACCATCACCAACACCACCACCGTGAAGACCGCATATGCACAATATAGTCCACGGACTGAGCATTGTATGCGCGAATTACCACCCGACAATCACAGCGAAATATGGACAAAGACAACTCCTTTGACAGATGCCCCCAATTGCATACGAACTTGGTTTCAACAGGAGACTTAGCTGAATTCAGCTGAAGCTCTCGTTTATGTTGACCCTAAGATGGAGAAACCGCTCGTGGGCTGAAGAGTTTTCAGTAGCCATGTGAGTAGTACAATACGCAGCATAATGGACTATTGTTCCTTGAGAAAGGGCAAACGAACTCCGTACCGTGTTTGTCTTCTCATAGTGGATGGGTTGATTGTCTAACTAGCCAGCTGTGGGTGCGTTACGGAGTGAATTTACTGCGCCGTATGTAGGTCCCCTCAGTTTACCAGCGCAACGACATGACTTCTTAATTCTGAAAATTATCCTTCGGAACCAACATTCATTTAACTCTTTTACGACAAAACAACCGGTAGCGCGTCAAAATTAACAGTAGCTCCACACAGGGCAGCCAAGAACCCAACCCAATGCAGAGTAATGCTCGACAGGTTAACTCAATGAGGTTAACCACCCGATACCAGCACAAATTCCTTGCATGCACCTCGTACTCCAAATATATTGCGTTCTTTGATCCCGTTTGCTTCTTATTCAATCCTGATCCGTTGGATCAAAACGGATGTTCAAGAAATGATCAGTGAAAAGTTTTTGAACACAGGCGGTGAGAGGGACCCATGAAGATGGACTGCATTACGCTTGCATCACTCGGACGCAGCTGGAGTACCAACATCTCACAGCTTGCCTTCAGATCATTCCTAAAGGTATCCTGATCATTAATTTGCCTTCAGTGTCCAAAGCATAGAAACCTGACATGCCCTTTGACCTCTGACCTGAAGTTTTGAAAAATTAACTCCAATTTATCGCGGTATGTAGGCGCAGTAAAGTGAGTACTGTGTGCCACTCAGTGGGATCTGATAGAGCATATTTTGTAAGACGGTCCCACTAGAGAATTAGGCGAAACTGACTCCTGCACTGCAACAACTTGATCAATAAACAGATACAGTTGACACTGGATGCAAGATAAATGGCATACCAGCCCGAAATGGAAACGTCAGGCACAAAGCGGTTGTAAAAATCAATCTTTGTTGTACTTTTTTCACAGTGCGAATGGCCTACAATAAAATAACAGAAAAATACGTTTTTTGGCTCTCCGAGGAGAGGACTTCCCTTTGGGGTGTTCGGTCTACGGAAGATTCACCGCAAAAGATTCATATGAAACCAGAAACCTCAAAGCGCCGCTGCCCGTAACGATGAAACCCGAAGTCATACCAAACAAACTGGCTAGTCAGCTTTGCAGTAGCTGATTTCTTTGACCCTCCAGTCAAGAAATGAAACATAGAGAATCGTATAGAATTTCACCATCGAAGTGCCCTTTCAGAGTTTGTGCGCTTGCATACTCCACTGTACCGAGTCGTACGACCGCACTTTAATCTACAAAACAACCATCGAAGAGGTCAAAATAGCTTTTTTGTCCTTATTTCGAAGAAGTAGGGTAGTTGAGAATGACCACCGCGTTTTAGCGGGTTTGAACGTACCGACGACGCGCTAGTGACGAAAGTCTGTTTGATAACATGTCAGCAGTAAAGCCAACTTTTGAATGGAGCGTTAGGAAAAGTTGTCTCGATTGTTTGCTCCAAATAACACGATCTAAACAAATCAGGGTAGTCATTCCCATTTAAGGGACATTTGATGACATCCATTTCGCGTTCCAGAGTGACATCGGAATGAAGTTGTCTTCTAGTACAAAGGACCGAAACTGTTTTATACAGTTTTGTACTCGAATTCAAAGCAATACACGTGTCTGAGGTGGATAAAAAACGAATTTCATATCTCAATATCAAAGCAAGCTGGGATGATGGGGATATCATACCAAGTTTTGTCGCTCACGAGACGAAGAACAAATCTTGAGAATAATCGGTAATTTAATCTGAGTTGTCATGTCAAGAATCCAGTTGATGCTAAGCTAATGTCATTGAAAAGATAAACCGAAGCAAAACCATTCGTTTCAGGTATTCACAGTACCACTTCTAGGTATTGTGAACGTGAAGCTCATGACCATAGGCACGTGTCTCTTTATAAAGTAACTCGACTAGGCGACCACGTGGGCTCTTTCGGTGCGATTTCTTGTAGTTCAGAGCAAAGCAACATATGCTCATTACGTCATCCGGTGCTACTTTTGGAATTCAATTGAAAGTGTGAAAAGGATGTGTGCATCAATGTGCGAATAGGAATAGGATCGATCAACGAACTCATTCATATAAACTAGTAATGTGCTCCGATGCGAACAGAAGAGGAGAAGGAAGGGTTCAGAAAACGTTCCAGGCTGTCAGCCTCATCTACCGATGGCTTCTAGCAATGCTGATTTAAAGAAGGCTTTCCTAGCCTATTGCAGTGTTATCGACCATGAATCTACCAAGGGTAATTCATCTTGTGTTCGGAAAATGTGTACGGACTCTGGAATAAATAAGACGAAAATGAAGCAAAACGATATCGATTTGGAATACGTTCGATGTTTTGGGACATCAAAAGAGTAAGTCTCATAGGAATTGTGTCCCATTTAGTCCGGTGAATAGTGACGCTGTTTTGACAAGTACGGAGTCGTGGATCCTACCGTTTGAGTCATGGAAGCCTCAAAAAGTTTATGACAACAGATAGGAAATTTATTTTGAGGTTTAAAGAGTTCAACAGTCTCATTATTCTGTGTTTACTTCGAACGCCGCGCTGTTTATAGTGTCCCTAGCATGAATGTTTCTGCGATGGGTACCAAACTGTAGTACTATTAGCAGCGATAGTAACAGTTATGTTTTGTATTGACAAAATAACATATCTGAGCAGTTTTGGAGACATAACCAGGCAGCCTACGTGCCGACGCTTAGGTGCCCAAAAGGAAGTCCGCTGTGCTAACCACTGTACTGACAGCATGCACAGGCAGTTCTCGGTTCAGATCATCATCGATTTTCTTTTCCCCTCCCAAATCTAGAATAATCAAACATCAACTGAGCCTACCTGAAGCCGATCTGTTAATATTTAACTAAGCGATATGGCTTTCAAGTGCATACTGTTTTAGCGACTTGTGTGTACAAAGAGAGGGCGTGGAATTGCGAACTCGGTGCTTCCCAGCAAATACGGCTTCAAGGTCGGCTGTCCCCAATTAGATCAATATCAGGCACCAGTTTACGCTGTCAACATTAGAACATTGGCAATCTGTTAGAATCTGACAGATATTGACATCTGGTAGTGTGAGATGGTTTGAAAATCCTGTGGAAACTTCACTCGGAGAGTCTCGAACCCGCAACCTACTCGCTCGCAGTGTGAACACTCAACCGTCCGGCCACGAGTGGCTGGCGAGCAGTGTGATTAACTCGCACTTAGAGAGGACATAACACCACTAAGGAGAAAACAGCTGTACAATGCTTCTTGGCTTTCCAGTATAGATCGGATTCACTTACAGGATGAAATCTCCACAAAGATTGACGGCGCATGGAGGAAGGCGATACGTTAGCAAAAGAAAGGATGAAGTGGGAATTAGACAGTTTGTGAGCAGAAAGCAACCTGTCGAGATTATTCGCTCGGGAGGAGAGGCAGTTTGGGAAAACCTATTCAATCTTAGTAAGTGTCAGGAGACGATAAGTTTTGTCTCTCGTCTGGTGGTGAACCACAGTTAACCTGTATCTGAGACTGACATATAACGGGAATCTTACCAGTGGGAATCACAAATCGCCGTCTAGACGTTTCAGAAGACTCATGCTCCCCCCTTTCATGACCGCAGAACAACAGGAATTTTTCCACGGCTGAAATCAAAACGGAATCTGTAAAATGATTGGGGAGTAATTTCTATAAAACGAATGGCAATTCTACGGAAAAAAGAGGCGAACATCCAAACTGGATAAATTTCTGACTCCGAATGTAGTCGATGTCTTCATTTAAAAGTAGAATTTCCGGTATACTGAGGCATCAACAGTCTCACGCAACGGTCTCAAACATTCATGGCTTGAATACCACAGATTGAAGCAGAAAGTCGAACATTTAACTAGATAGATAGATAGATGATAGATAGATAGATAGATAGATAGATAGATAGATAGATAGATAGATAGATAGATAGATAGATAGATAGATAGATAGATAGGATAGAAGAATGATAGATATGTTGTTAGATATATAGTTGGATAGATAGATAAATAGATATACATTTAGATGGATGGATAGTTAGATACATAGATAGATAGATAGATAGATAGAAAGATAGATAGATAGATAGATAGATAAACA